TTGGCTGCCACCAAGGGACAAGTGAGCTTGTGCATGGTGGTGCACTGTGAACAGCAGGCCCACCCACAAGCTGAGCTCGCTGGAGTTAGGTGTATTCATGTATTTTCCCTCATCCTTCCCAGTATCCCCAAGACAAGTTATATAAAGAAAAAAATCTGAATTAAAAATATTTCACTATAAAATATTACACTGAATCTACAACTTTATACTCTTCAAGCTTTGCAATTCTTCCAACAGCCAGTAAAGACAGAAAGGTAAAGCTGGAAGGACCTTAGAGATGGTCCATGCTGGGTGCCTCCTTGTCCAGAGAAAGAAACTGCGATGGGGAGAGGTAAAATAGCCTGCTCAAGCTCAAGAGAGATACCGTCTCTTGACGCCTAGGCTTGCTCCATTCTAGCCCCTTTGGGGCAGTGGTTGTGTCCGAGGCACCCCTTGGCATTGGAAAACTTGACAGAACAGCCACCTAAGACTTCAGTGACTGCCAGTGAAGTCTAGAAAAAAAACGTGGAATGAGCATTTTTCCCAGCACCCTTGTGACTAAGGAGAGACACAGGGGTTCTTCTGAGCTGTAGGGCAGCTTTGATGCCCCCAGGGTACATTCCAAGTGGCCCAGCAGGGATGCTGGACAGAGTCACCAAGGCAGGTGTGGCCTGGGCTCCAGAGCAGCTCATGGGCAGTGGAAGCACTAGCAGGATGCTACAGGGAACATCAGCATCCTGGGGGAGGCGTTTCCTCTTTCTCCACATAACCAGCCTCTTGGTTCTCCATGAGTTAGTTCTACATTTCTCCGGGGGTGGGGTGTATAAGAATAGAGACACCTGGATTTTCCTCCCAGAAATTCTAAACTAGAAGGTCGGGGTAGGACCCAGAAAATTGTATTTTTCCCATGTGTCCCTGGAGATGCTAAAGGCAGTCATCTTGCTACTATCTGAGGACAAGTGATCAGAAGCTCTGCACCAGATGACTCACAGAAAGCCCTACCACCATCCCAGTGCTGCTCTTGTCTGGGAAGACTACTCGGTGAAGAGCTTGCGATCCATCCTCCCTTGCTATAATTAACAGACCCTGTGATTAGAAGTTCTTCCTCAGCCTCAGGCTCCCCTACCTCCCACTTTCAGTGTCTTTTCTTCCCTGGTAATGGGAAGCCTGTCTCCCTGGGCTAACCCTCCACAAACTGGAAGCCTATTACTAGGTCACCTGTCAGCCTCTCTGTCCCAATTAAGTAATCTCTATTCCTCTCACCACTTATCCATGCTCCTATGTTCCAACCCAACAATCATTTCCCCACTTTTCTCTAAATGCTCCCCAAGTTCTCTCCAGTACCCCTGTGTTGTGTTTGTTCCTAATTCTTCCCATGAACAGTTTGTATCTTATGAGATTAAAAAGAAATTCCTGCTCCAAAAAAATTCAAAGGCTATTTTGACAAAATTAATTTAAGAAACCTCCCTGCAGCATCACAGCAATCTGGGAAAGAGGGCAGGTTGCATAAGAAAGTCTAAGGAAGTTAGTACAATTAATACTCCATTGTCTCCATGGCAACATACCTCAAAAGTTTTCTGGATGACCACACAGGCAGGAAGGTCTGAAGGTCCACCTGCTTGCTCACTGGAAAGCCAGGAAGGAAGGCTTAGCTTTCCCTCCATTCATGTGGTAGAGATCAGGGCAGGCTGGGACTACCCGACAGACCGAGGAAGTGGGAGAAAACAATCAAATGTGGGAACCAGAGAGCACAGGGAAGAAGTGTACGAGATGGGTGGGTCATCGCTGACCCCTATTGATAATGGCATCCATTTAAACCATAAGCAGAAATTCACTTTTGAGAAGATTTTTAAGGATGTCAAGAAGCCTTCTGAAGGGGATGATATGAAAAATCAGCCAGGCAAGGTGGAAGGTGAAAGAAACGAAGCAAGACCAAGAGTAGAACACAAAGCAAGACAAAGTTCAGTAGCTTCTGCGGACCTATTTTCTCCAAAGAACAGAAGAAAAGGGAGAAGATGGCAGAGGGAAGAGAAGGCAGCGAAAACAGTGGAAATTGAGTGAGAATCTGCCTTCCAAGCCTTGGTGGGGTCCAGAAAATACAGCACATGTACACCATGAAATACTATACAGCTGTACAAAAATAAAACGAGTTCATATCTTTTGCAGGGACATGGATGAAGCTGGAAACCATTATTCTCAGAAAACTAACACAGGAACAGAAAACCAAACACTACATGTTCTCATTTGTAAGTGGGAGCTGCACAACGAGAACACATGGCCACAGGGAGGGGAACATCTCACACCGAGGCCTGTCAGGGGTAGGGGGAAAGGGGAGGGAGAGCATTTGGATAAATACCTAAAGCATGCGGGGCTTAAAACCTAGATGACAGGTTGACACCTGCAGCAAACCACCATGGCACATGTATACCTGTGTAAAAACCTGCATGTTCTGCACATGTACCCCAGAACTTAAAGTAAAACTTAAAAAATATTTTAAAAAAGATCAGCCTGGGCAACATGGCAAAACCCTATCTCTATGATATATACAAAATAATAATAATTATTAACTGGGAGTGGTAGCACACACCTGTGCTTCTACCTACGTGGGAGGCTAAAGTGGGAGGAGCATGTGAGCCCAGGTAGGTCAAGGCTGCAGTTAGCCATGATCATGCCACTGCACCCCACGTTGGGGAAAAGAGTAAGACCCTGTCTTGAGGAAAAAAATGATGGAAGAGGAAGGTAGGAGAGTCAGGAGAGAGATTTGAAGATGCTACACTGTTGCCTATGAAGATGGAAGAGGGGCTATGAGCTAAGGAATGCAGGCAGCCTCTACAGAAGTTGGACAACGCAAGGAAATAGGTTCTCCCCCAGTATCTCCAAAGGAATGTAGCCCTGACAACATCCTGATTTTATCGTAAGATGCATTTCAAACTCAGACCTCCAGAACTTAAAGATAATAAACTTTTATTATATTAAGTGGCTAAGTGAGTGATAATCTCAGCTCCAGCAACCATAGAAAACTAACATAAAAACTAAGAGGCACAGTCGTTTCCCATTACCCACAGAGTAGTTTTCTGCAGTTTCAGTTCCCTGAGTACATCCCAAAAATATCAGATGGAAAATTTCAGAAGTAAAACATTCAGTTTTCACTTACATGCCATTCCAAGGAGCGTGATGAAATCTTACACCATCCCAACTGCCCCCCTGGGGCCATGAATCTCTCCTTGTGTAGCCTACCCACACTGTTTACACTACCAATTCTGTCAGGCACGCAGTAGCTAGCTCACTATCAAACTACTGCAATACATGCATGGGGCAGCAGCAGTGGCAACCCTGGACACTGGCCCCAGTAGCACGGAACCCAGAACCAGATACTGCCACAGTCAGCCTGCAGGTGCGGAAGGGCAGAAGGTGGTCAGTCACAACTCTGTGGTTGCACAGTGCCTAGCGCCCACAAACCTGTCCTCTGGGCCAGGGCCAAGGAAAAGTGGACCCTAGGGTGGGATGGCGGTACACTCCATTATTCTCATGCCCTCAGGGAGCAGCCCGCCAGAATCTGCCGTGGGCTCAGCCACAGCCACCACCTGGAAATGGTGCAAGTCAGTATCAGTGGCAACTCTTAGCCCTGTCCTCCCCCACCAGCAGCAGGAAACCCAGGGCCAGATGTCACCGTGGTGCCTAATTTAGGTGGTCAGCAGCACAACTGCAAGGGGGTGGATACCGGTGCTCAGCCTCATCTGGGGGCTGCAGTGGGCCCAGAGCCCGCGACCCTATGCTCTGGGCTTGGGCAACAGAAGCCCGGATCTTAGGGTGGGGGGAGGTGCCTTGGGTGACTCCCAGGCTGTCTGAGACCAGCCCTGCAGTCTCCCGGGCATTCTGCTGCACCTGCCACTTAATAGATGGCATGCAGAAGTAGCGGTGGCAACCCCTGCTCCTGCCCACCTCCACCCGCAATGCAGACCCAAGGGCCAGACCCTGATGTGGCACCTAAATCAGCCCTCACAGCATGAGGACTGGAACTGGCGCCCGGCCATCCCAGTGGCTTCAGGGTACACAGTGCCCACAACAAGCACCATGGACCAGGGCTAAAAAGGAAGAGGAGGGCAGGAACTGGTGCTCAGCCCCACCCCCGAGGCTGCACAGCGCCCGGCGCCCATACCCTGCACTCTGGGCAGGGGCAAGGAAGATGGACCCTAGGTGGTACACTGGGAATTCTTGGGACATCTAGGGCCAGCCGCTGCCTTGAGCTCAGCTGCAGCTGCCACCTACACACGGCCATGCAGCAGCCACAGTGACAGCCACTGATGCTGCCTGCCCACTCCACCACAGTGAGGATCCCAGGGCCAGAAGCCTCCACAGCCCCTCATGCAGGCACAGTTGGCCCTGCTGCTGCAGGAAAGCAGGAACCGGCCTGTCGGCCTCGAGGATCCAGCAGCTGCAGAGCACCCAGTGACTGCCACCATTGCTCTGTGCATCGGCCAAGAAAGAGGGGCCCTCGGCTGGGAGGGCGGTCCACTGGACAGCCCTCGGGTTTTCTGAAACTAGCCCTGCCAGCCGACGCCATGGACTCAGCTGCCCCTTGCAGATGGTGCACGTGAGCAGCAGTGGCAATCCTGGACATGCACGCGGTGGCCAGCAGCACAGAACCAGGAGCCACACGCCACCGTGGCCCTAATGGAGGGAGTGAAGCCCCAGCTACAGGGGGGCGGGAAGTGGCGCTAAGCCCCATTCCAGTGGCCACACAGTATAGAGACCCGCAGCCCAGCACTCAGGAAGCCACCAAAGAGGAGCGGATCCTAGGGTTGGGAGTATTCTATGACCCTCAGGCCTCACTCAGGTCTGGGACCTGCATTAACTGAAGCTTCCACCTGCACACGGCGTGGCAGAAATGATGGCAACCCCATCTCTGCCTGCCGTAACAAGCAGCAGGGGACCGAGGGCCCGAGGCTGCCTCAGAGGCTGCCACTTGGCCACCTCTGCACCCCTGTCCCTGCCCTGGTGGCAGCTGGCCATGCTCCTACCTCTCTGGTACTCTGCAGTCTCCGTGGCTGCCACCCACTGCAGTGAGGCGAGCCGTGGTGTCACAGGTTCCAGGCTCCAGCATGCAGCAGATGGCTCTTCCTTCTCCTGACATGGAGCAGCTGGGTGGGCAAAGCTAGAAAAGCCTAGAAAGGGACACAGAGAGTGGTAGCATTAGACCCCCACCTTGTCATGCTGGCCACTTGGTGCCATGGGCCAGTTTCAGTGAAGGCACTCATACCCACCCTCCAAAGTCCACAGCATCACTTTCTGGCCCAAACTGGCTAAGAAGTGGAGACTGGAGACACTATGGTGCCTGGGCTTCCCGCTCCACAGGAACCACTAGGACCACCCAGGCTGTGTTCGGGAAGCAGTAGCGGCAGAAACTCAGCCCCAGTCAGCCCTCCCCACCAATGTGCTGGTTCCCATTCCTGAGACCTCCACCCACAGGGCCCTGTCACTCCATAGTGTCTGCTACTGCATGCCTGGGCATCCTTGGCAGTCTCTGCAACACAGAATGTGAGGGCTTGAGCCTGGGAACCCATGATGGGTCCAACCAGGATTTTCACATAAACATGTGCCTGCCATGCAAGAGGAGATGGCCCTATAGAGTTTAGAGTCTGGAAAGAGGACCACTCCTCTCTGAGAGACTACCGCTGTCACTGAAACCTCCATCACCTGCCAACAGCAGTGCAGCTTCTGACAGAGCCAATAACCCACTGCCACCGGCAGTGTAGCCCCAAGATAGTGCCAACACCCCATCCCCCCACCACCGGCAGTGTAGCACGTGATGACAGCCCCTAACCTGCCACTGCCTTAGACACTGCAGCACTCGATGGCACCTGCGAACCACATCCCTGCTATGGGCAGCACATCCCAGGAGAGCACCCCAACTGGCTCACTGTCGTGGGCAGTGTAGCCACAGATAGTGTCCCCAACCAGACACCCACTGCAGGCAGTGATGCCCCCATATGGCACCCAAACCACCTCCCACTGCGGGCACTGCAACCCTGAACAGTGAGTGCCCTAACGCACTCCCTGTCGGGAACAGTGCGGCCCTGGATAGTGTCCCCAGTGAACTCTCTGCCTTGGGCAGTGCAGCCACAGAGAGCACTCCAAACTCCCTCTCCACCTTGGGAAGTACCACCATGGATACCTCAGGTAGTCCCTGAGAGTGCACCCAACCTGCCCCTGCCATAATCAATGCAGCCTGGAATAGCACACTCACCCACTCTTTGCCAGCCAGTGCGGATCCCTGAGAGCACCCAACCCACTCGCCACCTCCCCCCAACTCAGGCAGTGTATCCTGCCCCAAGAGTGCCCCCACCAACCCTCTAACCCCCTCCACAGGCAGTCCAACCCTGTGTAGCTCTCCCAGCAAGCTCCCCAACCTGTCTCAGTGTAGTCCCCATGGTGCCTTTAAACACCGCCCCCCCCCGCCACCAGCAGTGTAGCACCCTATGGTAACCCTAACCCATCCTCCACCACCAGCACTGCAGCCCCAGATAGTGCCCCCAACCTGTTCCCAGACACAGGCAATGATGTCCTCTGTCTCATGAACACTGCAGCCCATAAATCAAGTTCTGAGGGGGAGTTCCACAGCAAGCCTACTACACCCACAACACGGCAGCTCCCACTCATCCCCCAAGCAGTGATCTGGGAGGTAAACTCTGCTGCCCTCAGCCACACTGGAGGTCATGGGCACAGCACCCCCCGTGCCTGTCTGCAGCACTCAGGAAACCTGACTACCTGGCAAAGCTGTCTTCTGAGCCAGGAGCGAGAGGCGTTGACAGCAGAGGCCGAGTCTGAGAACACGTCCCGCTGCTGCCGGAGGAGGGTGGGGGGCCCGCAGGGGCTGGCGGGGGGGCGGCCCCCAGACCCAGCAGGTCTGCCAACGGAGAAGGCGTAGACTGGAAAAGAAGGAATGAGAGCATCAGCACAGAGCCTCCCTGGCCCGGCTGACCCCAGACAGCTCACGTGTGCATGTCCTCCCCTACGGCACCCCCTTGGCATCCCCGAGATCCTGGAGGCTGGGACAGGTGGCACATAGGCCAGTGAGTGGCCAGAGCATGAGGGCAAACAGCCACCTTCTGAGTAGATCCCAAAGCCCAGCCTGAAGGCGACTGCACTTCAAAGATGAACCATCATTTCACTAAGATGACCTACATTTTCTCACAATGGCTGAAGGAAAAAACATTCTCAAAAAAAGTTTGCCATGAAAAGGCACAAAAAAGAAACACGTGGCTTAAGAAATAAGATCTAGCATGTCACTACCAACTGTCCTATAAGAAAGTTCCAGAAAACGAAAAAGTAAATAACTTATTTGGGTGCAGGATCATTTCAATCATTAAGTTATGACTAAATCATTATTATTTTAATCATTTAAAAGTCTACAGAACAGATACTTTCAAAAAGTAATTACTTTCTGGCCAGTGCAGTGACTCACACTTGTAAACCCAGCACTTCAGGAGGTGGAGGCAGGAGGACTGCTTAAGTCCAGGAGTTTGAAATGAGCCTGGGCAACACAGAAAGAAGCTGTCTCTGTTTTTTTCTTTTTTTTTTTTTAGGCAGTCTTGCTCTGTCACCCAGGCTGGAGTGCAATGGTGCAATCTTGGCTCACTGTAACCTCTGCCTCCCAGGGGGAAGTGATTCTCCTGCATCAGCCTACCAAGTAGCTGAGATTATAGGCATATGCCACCATGCCCAATTAATTTTTCTGTATTTTTAGGAGAGATGGGATTTCACCATGTTGCCCAGACTGGTCTCAAACTCCTGGGCTCAAGTGATTCTCCTGTCTCAGCCCAAAGTGCTGGAAATATAGGAGTGAGCTGCTGCACCCAGCTCTATTTTTAAAAAATTAAATACTAGTAATAATGGCTCTTTTTTGTTTTGTTTCTTTGAGATGGAGTCTCGCTCTGTCTCCCAGGCTGGAGTGTAGTGGTCTCAGCTCACTGCAACCTCCACCTCCCAGGTTCAAGTGATTCTCCTGCATCAGCCTCAAAGAAGGTAGAATTACAGACTAATTTTTGTATTTTTAGTGGAGACAGGGTTCCAACATGTTGGCCAGGCTGATCTCAAACTGCTGACCTCAGGTGATCTGCCCACCTCAGCCTCCCAAAGTGCTGGGATTACAGGCATAAGCCGCCACACCCAGCCATCTATGGCTTTTAACCACTTTCTAAAGTAGGAGAGCCCTTTGCCCTAGCAAATGAATTTGTACCCAAAACATTCTTTATCACAGACTGTGATACCAAGGCCAGATGCAGGCCCCAGGACAACAGGGTCCTGACACCCACTGTGGGTTCCCCATCTCCCCCTTGTCCTCAGGCCTGGGAGACCCTCCTCAGGGAGCAGACGTGGCTCCTGGGCCATGCTGGTTCATCTCTTACCTCCAACAGCAGGACAACTTGAGGGGTGAAGGTTCTGCCTACAAAAGTCCCGGACTCCAGCACATGAGGCCAAGCAGCCTCTGATCCCCACACCCATGAGCTCCCCAGCACACCCAGGGGCCCCAAGCAGCTGTATGCAGACAGAAAGGATGCTCAGAAGAAGTAAATGTTCTGGCCTCATTGATGATTTTAATAAGAGGCATTTTCGCCAACGTGACACCAAAATAAAGCCACTGCCTCTCATGGGAAAGGCACGTGTGTCGATACCACCCTGAAATAGCCCCTTCATGACCTATGCAGAAGACCCCAAGCAGGAGAATGTGCCAAGAGTGACCCCACCTCTGTCCTTCCCTCCTTCCTCACCCCCAGCCCAGTAGGGTCTCCCCATGAGCAGTGGGGATAGACTTAAAGCACAGGATAGGACCAAAGCCCACACGCCACAGCTCTCAGTCACAATGGAGGCCACTGCCTCCGTCACAGACACTCCCTAAGGAGCCCACCTGCCAGGCACCGCTGACCAGCAGGAGGGAAGCCACACTCAGAAAATCCACAGAATGAGCCCCGAAGGGTGCCCTCCAAGAAGGCACCTTACAGAAATGCTGGCCTTCATCCTTTGCAGAGGGCAGCATGCTACTCACTCCCACAGTCTAGAAGCTTCCATCTGATCCCTAAGCCACACAGTCCAGGCCAGGCACCTCCAAAGTCCACCCAGAGCCTAGCTGGGCAAACCTGGGTGTGATCTAAGGCATAGGATATGGGTACACCTCACTTAAGAACCACGTGAAAAAGACATATTAACAAGAACCACAGAGAGAGATGACAACCCTGAGCCCCCTTCTGCTCCCTCAGCGAGCTCCTCTTCAAGTCAAAGCAGCTGGAGAAGAGCAAGAGCCCCTGGTGCCTTCCCAGCCTCCAACAGGCCATCGCAGGATTCCTCGGAAGGCTTCCAGTGCCCTTGTGGAAAGCCGCCTCCCCTGGGTCATGTCTTCCTGCCCTTGCCTCCTCACCCAACTGGGGCCACGTCCTCCTCTCTGCAAGGCAGAGCCACTGCTGGCCCAGCACCCACAGGAAGGGCCCAGTGTCCACAGAAAGGGTCCAGTGCCCACAGAAAGGGCCCTGTTCCGGTAGCTCAAAGACAAATCTCCACAAGCACTGTCTCCAGAAACCCAGGTCAAGAAGCCTGAAGGAGGAGGAGAGAAGGATCAGAGGAGTGACAGAGTGGCTACTGACATGCTACCAGACAGGGCCAAAAGCAGGTCACCAGCTCTACAGAGCATGTGAGAAACACGAGCATGAAGGTGCTCAGGCGTGAAGGGAAGACGCCTACCTGGGCAGAAACAGCCATGTTTATCATGCACTCCAGGATCAGCTCACAGGCAAGTCAAGCCTCCGTAGGGCAGGCACAGCAGGGTGCCGTGACCAACAGAGAGAGGACACAGGGGATAGGGGCTGCAAACAGGGCATGAGGTGCTGGGGGGAGGGCAAACCCTTAACCCATGTCAGGCTTAGCCGAGAGGGGAAGGAGAGAGAGGCGGAGAAGGAGGGAGGGAGGAGACCCGCTGTGGGGGGAAAAGGGAGAGGAGGGGGAAGGAGAACCATCAGGCTCAGCCAGGAGGAGGAGAGGGAAGGGGAAAGAAGGGGAAGGGGAGGGAGAGGGGGAGAAAAAGGAGGAGCAGGAGCTGGCCGTTGGGTGAGATGTCAGGCCTGGATATGGGCCCCATGGCAGGCCCTGCACTACCAGCTGGAGGGGC